GTGATACTTGGTTAGGGTTGAGTCAGAAGAAAATATAATTCAGCATCAAATGGGGACACAAGGGATATATTTTCTCCTTTTGTGAATGGATAATGAAAGAAAATCATTCATCATTTCATACACGGAAGACTTTGCAGAAGAGGTATCCCTAGAGGCTTAGATTTTTAGGATTAATTTTATTCACATGAAAACAATGTAATTAATGCAGATATAATTATTTCGAATCAATTTCCTTTTATTTTTGTTTCTTGTCTTCTAGCATGTCTCAATTGTTCAGGATCTTCTCCAGAAAATTGATGCGAGATGCCCCACATTGTGTCTTCTTGTATGAAGGTTCACGTTCAAGTGAACATCTTGTACTCAATGTCTTTAGGTTTTATTGGTAGAAAAAATGTCAGTTTTGCGTCTAAGAAGACGATGGTGACTTTATTGGCTCAACAAAAGGTAATGGTATGACTTTTTGTGTCTCAAAAAAGATAAAGGCAATATTTAAAAGTCTCAAAGAGAGGTAATGTCAAATTTTGGTTCTTTGGTACTGATCATGAATTATTCGGGTAAAGAATCGAGAGATTTTATTTCTGGTTTTGGACGGTATAAGAAAGGTCTAATCTTGACTTATGTCAAAAATCTATAATTCTTGAAGAATTAAAAGAATATGTAATTCATTCGATATTCGAATAACTACAAGATTAAAACTCGTTCAATTATTCAACCTTAGAAGGTAGCATAAATTCAATCATTAAGATTTAAAAAATATTTAAGCAAATATTGAAGAAAGAACAAAAACGAGTTCAAACAAAACAATGCTCTTAATGCAAGCGGTAAATGCAATGTCTTCTTGATCAACATCAGAATGCCTCATCATTCTTCGAATGTCCATGCCCCTGAATCAATCATGTTCTGGACCTTGTTTCAATGTCCCACTGTTCTCCATAGAATGCCCTGAGCTTATTATGTGATAGCTACATAAGGCATCAACATCGTAAAACTCAAGATATAGAGACTCTTTTCTCGGATCATCCTGGAAGGCTCAGCCCTACGACCAGCTGCATATGCTTCTACCGTACTGATTTCAGCTTCTTCCTTCAATTATTCAAATCTTGCTTCTATTCTCAATGTGGTGTCACATGATTAGGACCACTTCATTGAATCCTCCACGGATTAATTTCATGTTTTCATGAATGATGCATGTGAAAATGCTTAAAACATGAAATGCATATACAAAATGCAAAGATGCAAATGCAAAAAGATTAATCCCAACGATGAATATCGTAAAACAATTTTTACCAGAGATAAAAGTCTTCACATTACAAGATATTCCATTTTACAGACATGCTTTCTCTTGGACGTTGAGTCTTAAATGGCTCAATGCTTCATCTCGGATCTTCATTCTTGAAAATGATGCCCCTCAAGCACTTTGTAAACTAACTCCGTTAATGCCCTGGCGGTGCTGAAGTCAGTGTGTCACTCCTTGATGACTAGCGATGAAATGATTGTAAATAAGGCTCTATTGTTGGATTACTCCTTGGATCAGTGGATCATCATTTCAGTCTCGAATACTCCACGATCTTCAAGCAAGTCTCCTTCTTCTACTCTCTAAACTTCTTTAAGCCCTCGGTGCATGTCTGTGTACGCGACTGCTTGATTGAAAACTTTTATCTTTTCTTGTGAAAATTTTCTCTTGAATATCCCCTTGCGAATCAACACTTTCGCATTATGTCATGTCGATGAAATGTAATGCAAAAAGGTGAAAATGACACAAACAAAATAAAAGAAATAAATTAGTACAGACAAGATAATCAATAAAATTAAATGATGTTATATAAAATAAATACACCACCTACCCGATCATGGTATCTACCCAAGCATGCTTTCATTTGATAACAATCCTACCCGGACATGTTTTCTACCCAAAATGATTTATTTTTGCGAAATTGATCCTAACCGCATGGTTTCTAGTTTGCATGCTTTTATTCAAAAAGAATAAATATATTCTACGAACTTAAAGCAAAAGGTAAAGGATTAGAAACACTCCTCCTTTGTGTACAATTATTTTGGGCACCTACCGACGGACAGAGGTTCAGTATGGCTATACCTAGGGTGATCGTTCTACGGTTCACTACATGCATAGTTTTGCTCTATGAGGAAAGAGTACTCGAATTGTCTTTGATGTTGGTGCCCCCTTGGGCTACCAAACCCTCAATCCTAACCCATTATAGGAACAAATGGATCGAGTTCAATTCGAGGGGATTCACTTCCTTATACCCATACGAGGAATAAATCTCTACGAAGGTATATGGCATGTATCCCAGGGGTTATTTGCTAAAACTCATACGAAGAATAAATTCTTACGAGAATAAAGCATTCACCCCGACTTATTTGGAACGAAGCTCAGGTATAGATCTTATATTATACAAATGCACGTGATGTGTGTGAGAAGGAACATACAAACTTTTGACTCAAAAAGAAACAAAAAAAAAACTTGACAAAAACCTTAATAAAGCTTAAACAATAGATTAAAACGTTAGTACGATAAACATACATAAATTAGAAAAAAAATCAATAAATGGATCATAGGATAACTATAGACTCGAACTCATAATTTCCACCACAACGACAATGTGTAAGTGACTTATAGCCTCACTTTAAAAAAGGTCATCAGTGAAGTCGCCAAGCTGTCATAACCATTTTTTAAGACAATTAAGTTTTAAAAAACAATTATGACTTTTATTTGAAAATTTAAGATTTTGAATTAACTTAGATGGGATTCGCCATTGACCTTGGGGTTAGATAGGTCGAATACCTTAAAACGTCATTTAAAACAATTTTAATAAAAAATCATTTTTAAGACAAAAAATGGTTTGCGTTTACCAAAAATATGATTTAACATGTTCGAGAGTCAATTACGCGTGGGGAAGGATTAACACCCCCACAATGCCCAAAATTGGTACTCAATCGCTTACACATTGTCTTAATAGTGGCAATTATAAATCAAATATAAAGTTAAATTATGATCCATGCACTGAACATTGGATAATTTATTTCGAATTATTTATTAGGAAGAATTCTTTAATTTGAAAAGAAATCTCGAGATTAGCAATCCTCCGTCGGGAAAGTTATTTCGTATATTTCTTTGTCTAAAAAGAATATTCCCTCCTCGACAAAAGCGCGAATCGAATATAAATTGAAAATCAACATTTTGTATACAACAAAATAAATTGCTATTTACTTTATCATGCATTGCATTATTTGAATTAAAACAAATTATTTAGCGCTTTAAAAAATAAAGTTCAATTTATTTCAAGTTCTCACTTTGTTTGAATGCCGTATCGGATCACGCTACTTCGATCAAACAATGATTTCCACGCCCATTCTACAAGGTGTTGTTCTTGAAAATATTTGAATGAATTGATAAAATTTTAATCAAGTCTGGGAGATATGCACAATTTCGACACAAGATTAATTCATAAACTAAAATTAGCATGAATGAAAAAAAAACTATTAATATTTATAAGCATGCAAGGATTAATGAAAACCCATTAAACATATGCACTTATATCGTATAATGTAACATTAAACATTTAATACTATGTATATGAAAATAAATAAACACAATGTATTAATCAAACATTTAAATCAAAATAATATTAACTAAAATGAAATTAAATGATAAAAGGATTAAATCATGAAAACATAAGATACCCATGCATAAACATGTCATAAACCATTAGGATTTCAATTGTAATACCCAAACAATGATCAAAATGAAATCAAATTAATACATCATATCCATAACACAAAATAAATATTTATCATAAAATATTATTTAAAGACGAAAACAAAAGCCCAACAAACTCAGAAACCAAATCATAAATATTAATAATTTCACTAATATGCAGATCAGGATCTAAGCTAAATGAATCACAAATCAATGGCCTAAAATAGACATTAAACCAAATGTATATTAAAGAACATATAATGACTAAAACACAAGCAATCAAAACTTGAAGCTGGAAATCAAAAGATTTGAAGTTCTATTCAGTGATTAAAATGAAAAAATTACAACATATGAGACCAGAGTAAAACATCCACGGAACTGGTATAATACAAAAGGGTAAGGACTTAAATATAAACAAAGAACAATAGATGCCCAAAACGAGATATCATAAATTTCCATTAATGGCTAAAACAGAATATTACACATAACCAAGGACTTATACTGCAATTAGCCCTTGAAAAATTAGAAACATGGATGAGATTACAAAATAATAAGGACCACAACAACTACTAACCCAAACCCGAAAACACGCTGAACCTCTCCCTCTTTAAACGATGTCGTATCATGATCTACATTTAAAGCCAAAATAAGTCCCAAAATTCGTCCCTCCCTTCCCATTTCCAGATTTCGCTCCCTCTCTCTTCAAAATAAGAGAGTGAAACTCTCTCAAATGTTCCCCTCCTCCCTTCTCTACTTCTCCACCGTGGAAAAAGAGCGAAAGCCACAACCGACGTAAATCACTAGTGATGACGTGGGAAACCTACCTGAAAACCAACCCTTAGCATTCTTCTCTTATTTTCTAAACCGAGACCTACCACTCTCGAAAACCTAGATCTGAAAAGGTGATGGGCTCTCCTATTTCCGGTAGGGATACAACGATCAGATCTGGATGAAGGGTAAGATCTCTCTCTTTCTTTTTTTCTCTTTTCTTTATCTCTTCTTTTTTTTAGGTTCCAAAGTTTTTTTCTTTAAATTTGGTTTTGGTTTTTGCGAGTGGTACCTATCTATTCAAACCCCTCCAAATCTCTCTGCCATCTTTGATATTTTTCGAATGGTTTCCCTCTTCCCCTTTGTCTGTTACTTCTCTCTTATTTTTATCCTTTGCATGTGTGATTGATTATATATGCTGCTAAGTAGATAGGATATCATTATCCTATCTCCATTGATTGACACATTAGGATTTGCCTTGAATTTGCTTTAATTTTTGTTTGATTTGGGGCAGATTCAGTCACTGTTTGATGGATGGCTGAAACGACAGCTCAGGAAGTCATCGGTGGCGGTTCACGCGGCTAGGAAGTTGAAAGGTTGGGCGCGTGTATCACACGCATCAGTGATGGACGGTCCATATTCCCTTGTCGGTGACGACTGGATGATATTTAGAGTTAAACCCTAATCTTGATAGCTGAGGACCGTTGGATCTCCATCAGATCCAACGGCAGGAAATGTGGCGGCGCCAAGAAGTAAAAATGAAACCATAATTAGGTCTGGACTCTTGGGATTCGGTTGGGCTTCGGGTCAGATCCTGGGTCGGGTCTGGATCCGGATTTGGTCTTGCTTGTAATCTGGTTTGGGTTTTTGTCCTTGTGGGCTCTGGGTTTATAATATATTGGGTCTGCAAAATGTAATTAAAGTGTTAATATAATAATAAATAAAAAATTAATAAATTTGAGAACCCGGACAAAAACGGGTATATACAATTATGTTTGCTTATAATTTTCCTAATAGTTTGCTTATTAAATATATTTTCCTATCAAGTTTATATGATTTTATGTGTATATTGATGTTAAATTTTGACGAAAAATATTAACGATTAGCTTAAATGAATAAAACAAAACGATTTAATTTTTAAAGTTCTAAAGTGCATGACTAAATATCAATTCATTTGAGTATAGGATCTGACTTCATATATTGACCTTAATTTTTTTATATATCACATTATTGGTGATTTCATCAAAGCAATCTCTACGGGTTTTGAAATCAGCTGATGTCATACTCTCAGAGGACACACGGCATTCCGGGATGTTGCTTCACTATTATAGCATCAAAACTGCTCTTGTAAGTGAGATTGAGCCATTTTTTCCTTGATCAGTTGATATCATTCATTTTGTTCTTCAAAATTTTTGATTGTGCGGGTTTTAGAATTCCAGCTAAGTTATCACAAATATAATGAATCTCAAAGAGAGGAAACAGTTTTGAAGAGGTTAAAACAAGGGGAGATCATAGCGTTGGTCAGTGATGCTGGAATGCCTGGCATTAGCGATCCCGGTACAGAACTGGTTAGTATTTGCATCCCTATTGGCTGAATTCTATAGATTGGTTGGTCTTGATGAAGAATGTAGTGACTGATGTTTGGAACCGCGGTTTAGGCAAAGATATGTGTGGATGAGAACATTCCTGTTATTCCAATTCCTGGACCGTCTGCCTTCTTAACTGCTCTTTCTGCCTCAGGATTGTCCACTGATGAATTTACATTTGGTAATTCCTTTGTAAAATATTGTGATTGAATGCGTTTCTCTGTGTTCCTGGAAAGTTAAAGACTGTTATATGGCATATAATGTTGCAGTTGGTTTTCTTCCAAAACATGCCAGTTCACGGAAGGAGAGGCTGATGACTTCTGCAAGTGAAAAACCAACACAGATATTTTATGTTCCTCCTCACAAGCTTAGCCTGTTTCTTGAAGAAAGTTCCCTGAATTTTGGCGATTCAAGGTAAAAAATGCATCTGCTTTTCTTCCATGAACCGTGATCAGTATAGTAACAAATGGTGAGAATCAGAGGAAAGGATTGAAAGATCAAGTCATTCTTGGTGAAGGGATTTTGTATGAAGATGCGGAATGTCTTTTCTTGCGAGGAGAAATCCGCTTGAGCCAGAAGTATTCTCTTTTTTAGGTGTATCATTTTTGGATGTGTATGCATCTATTTATCTGCATTACTCAAAAATATATATAGAAAGTCTGCAGAGGGAAAATAACTCATAGTGGCTCCAAATATGTAAAGCTTGTTAGTTAACTTGCTCTAATTTTGTAGTAACTGATTATCAGATCAATAGCTGAAATCTCTATTATAAGATGATATCATTAAAGAAACTGTATCAGCAGTTTCCAAGGCAATCAAATTAGAGGGGTGAAGAAATTTGGTTCGTTTCATCTTTAAGTGCAAGATCCTCTGTTTGCTTGATTGACATTATGTACTTTTCCCTTGCTTCAGTTAGTTATCTGCCTTCTGATACTTCTTTCAAAATTCTTAGTTGTATGTATTGGCATCTTTAAACTAAGTCTTAAGTGGAAATGACTGATGGCTCTTAGTCCCTATTATGACAGGTGACTTGATATCGTTGCAGGCAATGTGTCATAGCTCGGGAACTAACAAAAATGCATGAAGAGGTAGGTCTGTATTTATTCTCTTTATGTTATCGTATGCTACTTTGTCAAGTGTTAGGCAGATTTTATTTTATTTTTACCTACCATTTATGTTTATGCTAACGTAGCCTTTTTTCACCTTATTTCGGTTACTAAATCGTTAATGTTTATAGCTTCAATAACTAATCATGTTCTGGTTTCAGGCTTCTGATTAAAGACCAGTAGAAGAGGCCAATGCCTAAACTTTTTCAATGGGCCTGTATGGGGGGGGGGGGCGGAAATCAGGAATATGGCGTAACTCATGAGGCTTTAACACCATTTTATTTGAACCTTATGTCATGTGGCCTTTTGTTTTAGGCCTTTTTGGCCTTGCGTTTTCCAATGGAGAAATGTTCTTTTTTGATAATTGAGTTTTTCTTTTAATGTTCTTTGTTTTCTTTTCAAGGTATTCGTTGATGTGATTTTCACCCCTTATCAGAAATGCTATTGCATACAATAAATTCACTGGCTCGGAAAGCCGGAGGAAAATAAAATGATATGAATGTACCCTATAGTTTGTAGGCTATAGAAGGTAGAAAAGAGATGCAATAATTCTCACCCCATAATGAGTTGAAACATTACATGGTTTAAATTTGGAGATCTTACTTTAAGGAAATACAATAAAGTGCTTATGCAATAGGTTTGAGTAGAGATTTTATTTTAAAGAAATACAATAAAGTGCTTGTGCAATATAGGTTTGAATAGTGCTAAATCTATTAGCCAGTGTGACCTTGTTTTGTTGGAAATAAAACACTCACACAAACAACTTTTATTGAAACTCAAACAAATATTACAAGAGTACTCTCACTCAAAAAACAAGAACTACAACTCACTCTTATAAGACTTTGCTTCTTCACTCACTTAGAAGCTCTTAATTTTTCTTGATGCTTAAAACTAAAATGGGAAGGGGTATTTATACTACTCAAGAACAATCCTACACCACACAAATAAACTAATTTAAACCATTACAAATTCAACAAATATCTAACTCTCACCTAACTAAATCGATGTAAGCAATGACATCATTAATTAAATGATGTAAGCAATGACATCTTTAATTAAATGATGTAAGTAATGACATCAATTTAGTTTGGGTTTGGGTTTAGGCTCCCATAATGGATCAAGTTTATGATCCAACACCTTCCCTTAAACTTGATCTCGTGACCCCTAGTAGGTTCCTTAATCTTAAGAAGTCTTCGCTGGTCAGTGGCTTGGTAAAAATATCAGCAACTTGATCTTGTGACTTCACATATTCAACTTCCACATCTTTTCTTGCAACACACTCCCTTATATAGTGGTAGCGAATATCAATGTGCTTGCTTCGATCATGGAATACTGGATTCTTCGCTAAGGCAATGGCTGACTTGTTGTCGACACAAACCTTGGTAGGCTCTTCTTGTATCAACCAATCTCCTTCAATAGATTTCTAAGCCAAATTGCATGACAAACACATGAGGTAGCAGCAACATATTCCGCTTCACAAGTGGACAATGTGACAATCGGTTGTTTCTTTGACATCCATGTGAATGCAATATCTCCCATGAAAAATATGAATCCAGTAGTGCTCCTTCGATTATCTATGTCTCCACCCCAATCACTGTCGCTATATCCAACAAGCTTGTAATCATTAGAAACTGAATAGAACAAGCCAAAGTCAATTGTACCTTTCAGATAGCGAAGAATTCTCTTTGCGGCTTTAAAATGGGTGGTTTTGGGGATTCCATGTAGCGACTAACCAATCCAACTGCGTGAAGAATATCGGGTCTCGTGCAAGTTAGATAGCGTAGACTTCCTACCAAACTTTGAAGAATGTTGGATCTACACTTTCGCCTTCTTCATGTTTGGTCATCTTGATCCCGTATTCTGCCGGTGTGCTTATTGGCTTACAGTTCTCCATCTTGAACTTCTTCAGTATCTCCTTTGCATAGCTTTCCTGTGAAATGAAAATTCCATCATTTTGTTGCTTAACTTCAATGCCAAGGTAGTACGCCATGAGCCCCATGTCTGTCATCTCGAATTCTTTCATCATCACATCCTTGAATTCATTAAACATGCTTGGGTTGCTTCCAGTGAAGATCAAATCGTCCACGTAGAGGCACACGATCAAAATATCTTCATCTTTGATCTTGATATATAGAGCATGCTCGTAGGGACATTTGTTGAAGCCATTCTCTTGGAAGTACTTGTCGATTCGGCTATTCCATGCCCTTGGTGCTTGTTTTAGCCCGTAAAGAGCCTTCTTCAACTTCAACACCTTGTCTTCATGCCCTTTGACTTCATAGCCTGATGGTTGCTGAATGTAAAGTTCCTCTTCAAGAACTCCATTTAGGAAGGCGGACTTTACATCCATCTGTTGTATCTTCCACTTGTTTTGAGCTGCCAAAGAAATGATTAGTCTGATAGTCTCCAATCGAGCAACAGGAGCAAATACCTCATCATAGTCAATTCCAGCCTTTTGACTATAGCCTTTAGCAACTAGCCTCGCCTTGTGCCTTTCAATCTCTCCTTTGGCGTTTTGCTTTGTTTTGTACACCCATTTGACACCTATCGCCTTATGTCCCTTGGGAAGTGAGGTAAGTTCCCATGTGTCATTCTTCTCGATGGCCTTGATTTCTTCGTCCATCGCATCTCCATTTCTTTTCTTGTACCGCTTCTTGAAAGCTCACTGGTTCACAATCGGCAAACAGACAAAATAATGTAAGATTATCTTGTCGTTCAGTTACCTCATAGAGATCTCTAAGGCTTCTTGTGCGTTGCACAACTCTTTCACTTTGACTCCCACTTGACGATGATGAAGGTGATGAGTCTCCTTGAGTGGTTGATGTTGGTGAAGTGGGTGGAGTTGCAAGCTCTTGTTGAGATTCATCTAGTTGCTCCCTTATTGTCTGCTCATCTTCTTCAAACTAAGGAAAGAAATTGAAGTCATCTGTATGAGAGTTAAAATCCCATTCTCCTTCTTCGTTGAAGACCACATCTCGACTAATCACAAACTTCTTATTTTCTGGATTGTACAACTTGTAGCCCTTCGAATTAGCATCATAGCCGATGAAGATAAAACTCTCGCTTTTATCATCAAGCTTCGTTCTTCTCTCGTCTGGTACGTGAACATGGGCTATACTTCCAAAGGTTCTCAAGTGGGAAATGCCAGCTTTCTTCCACTCCATGCCTCTTGCGGTGTCTTTCCCCATACACTTCTTGTTGGAGATCGATTTGACAAGTAGACTGCACACGATACTGCTTCCGCCCAAAATTCTTTGGGTAGTTTCTTGCTTTTGAGCATGCTTCGTGCCATGTCGAGGATTGTTCTATTCTTTCTTTCTGCCACACCATTTTGCTGGGGGATCTAGGAACTGTCATCGGTCGACGAATTCCATTTGCTTCACAGAACTCTTGAAACTCCCTGGAAGTAAATTCTCCACCTCGATCGGATCTCATGACTTTGATCTTTCTACCGCTTTCTCTCTCCACTGCTGCTTTGAACTTCTTGAAGACTTCAAAAACTTCTGACTTCTGTTTCAAGAAATATACCCAGGTTTTTCTTGAAAAATCATCAATGAAGAGAAGAAAATAGTTATTGTTACCGAGAGAGCTTGGCTTGATCGGTCCACACACATCGGTATGGATGAGCTCAAGTGGCTTCTTAGCTCTTGTCTCTGACTCCTTTGGAAAGCTTTTCCTGAATTGTTTCCCGACTAGACCCCTTCACAGATGGTCAGGATGGTTGATGTGAGGTAGTCCTTTCACCATCTCCTTCTTAGATAATAGCTCTAGACCTCCAAAATTGAGATGCCCAAATCGAAGATGCCAAAGCCATGATGCATCTTTGTAGCAGCTTTCAGGCACTTTGCAACATCATTTTGTATGTTGATCAAGACATTCTATTCTTTGACATCGGCACTTTAGCAATGAAGTTATTCTTATCATCTTTTATAGAAAGATTATAATTATCATATGAATATCATAACCTTTCTCTACCAGTTGCCCTAAACTTAAATGTTACTTTTCATATTGGGCACATAGTAGACATTTGAAATAAATTGATGTCTCCCATCTTTCAAACGGATAAGAATGTTACCTCTCCCTTTCACTGCTATTGTGGAATCATCTCCAAATGAAACATTTCCACTTACTGACTCGTCTAGCTCCACAAACATGTCTTTCCTTCCACACATATGATTGCTTGCACCACTGTCAAGATACCAGGAATTTGCTTGGCCATCATCAGTTTCCTTTCGTGCTAGAAGAAGAGTTTCTTTGCCATCTGTCTTTTCCTCCACGTAATTGGCCTTCTCCTCAATTTTGTTGTTGGGAGCTCTACATTCTGAAGCATAATGCCCAAATTTTTGACAATTATACATCGAATTTGAGATTTGTCATACTTTGAGTTTGGATTAATTCTTCCACGCCTCGTGTTGAGCTTTCTCCTTTCTCATAGTTGTTGTTGGAATTGTTATTGTTGTAATTCCAGCCTCGTCCACGACCTCGACTTCCACCTTGTCCATGGCCTCTACCTCTGCCTTGGCCACGTTGGTTTCTATCATTGCGTTGGCTCTCATGCATATCCTTGAGTTGCAGCTTGAGGAGTTGCTCAGTAAACTCATGCTTCTTTTTATGCTTCTCTTCGTATGCTTGCAATGATCCTTGGAGCTGTTCGATCTTCATTTCTTCCAAGTCTTTAGTTTCTTCAATCGTCACGACGATGTGCTCAAATTTGGGATCCAACGAACGGAGTATCTTCTCTATTATCCTCACATTGTCTAACTTTTCACCATTTCTTTTTAATTGATTAGAAACAGCTACTACTCTTGAGAAATAATCTGAAATAGACTCAGATGCTTTCATGTTTAAGGATTCGAATTCACCTCTTAATGTTTGGAGACGAACCTTCTTCACTTGCTCGGATCCTTTGTAAGAGGTTTGCAGCTTCTCCCACGCTTCCTTGCTAGAGCTTGCACTTGAAATATTTTCAAAACCATCATCATCTAATGCTTGATAGATGAGGTAGAGAGCCTTCTTGTCTCTCTTTCTTGAATCCTTCAAAGTTGTCTTTTGATCTGGTTGTAAGAGTAGCAAAAGCATCATCATCCGCAGGCTCGTTATAGCCTTTCTCTATGATATCCCACACATCTTGTGATCCAAGAAGTGCCTTCATTTTGATACTCCAATTGTCGTAGTTGTTGTTGTTGAGTGTCGGAACTTGGAATGGTGTCATACCATTTTCCATATCTCTCAATATAATGAGATTTTGTAAAATCCGATTGCACGGATGAATCCGGAACGATGAAAAAAAAACTTTGGAGGGACTTGGACAACTCGGTCAAGGGCTCCAACTCGGCTGACTCGGCTCAACTCGATTTTCTGGCAGCAGTCTTCCGGCGATGCGTGGCGGTGCGTCAGAAACTCAGATTGAGAAAATTATGGCGGCGGCGTATTCCTCTCGTCGAGACCTTCGATCTTTCCAACTCTCTCTGATGCCACTTTGTTGGAAATAAAACACTCACACAAACAACTTTTATTGAAACTCAAACAAATATTACAAGAGTACTCTCACTCAAAAAACAAGAACTACAACTCACTCTTATAAGACTTTGCTTCTTCACTCACTTAGAAGCTCTTAATTTTTCTTGATGCTTAAAACTAAAATGGGAAGGGGTATTTATACTACTCAAGAACAATCCTACACCACACAAATAAACTAATTTAAACCATTACAAATTCAACAAATATCTAACTCTCACCTAACTAAATCGATGTAAGCAATGACATCATTAATTAAATGATGTAAGCAATGACATCTTTAATTAAATGATGTAAGTAATGACATCAATTTAGTTTGGGTTTGGGTTTAGGCTCCCATAATGGATCAAGTTTATGATCCAACAATTTTCACCCCTTATCAGAAATGCTATTGCATACAATAAAATTCACTGGCTCGGAAAGCCGGAGGAAAATAAAATGATATGAATGTACCCTATAGTTTGTAGGCTATAGAAGGTAGAAAAGAGATGCAATAATTCTCACCCCATAATGAGTTGAAACATTACATGGTTTAAATTTGGAGATCTTACTTTAAGGAAATACAATAAAGTGCTTATGCAATAGGTTTGAGTAGAGATTTTATTTTAAAGAAATACAATAAAGTGCTTGTGCAATATAGGTTTGAATAGTGCTAAATCTATTAGCCAGTGTGACCTTGTTTTGTTGGTTTTTCTTTTTTAGTGACTGTTAATTCTGGCAGTCCTGGCGGGGCACTTTGGGGAAAGCAAAGGAAGGCTTCTTAACTCGCCACCCAAAGGGAGAAATTACCCTCTTGATTGAGGGCAATTCAAATTGCAGTGTGGAAACTCCATCTGAGAGCGAGTTAGAAAATGACCTGAGAGAATTGATCTCCAGTGGCCATAGTCTTTCTTCGGTATGATTTGAGTTGTGTCTTCACATTTTACCAAATTTATACCTTGCAAAGGCTTTAAATAGATTCCTTATTAATTTTATGCGACTGTCATTATGAAGTATATTCCATTTAGACATTAAGAAATTCGGAAGAACTTATATCTTTTGAAGAATGTTCCACATTGTTTCTATTTGATAAAAATAACTAAATACGATTATGTTGCAGGCAGTCAAATTGGTGGCGAAAGGAACATCAATGAAAAAGAAAACGATATATTCCCTTGCCCTGAGAAAATTTGCAAAGAAGAACAAAGCAGAGGATTCAAATTAATGTCAAGCATTCCGGTAGAATTGAATAAGAAGGGTTCGATAACTTGGAAGTTCGAAAGCCAAGAACAAAACTCACCCTTTTGATCTATTTAATTTAACAGGGAAAATCCATATCCAGCACTAGGTTATTTTCCTTTTCGCCTGCATTTTTGGATGTCGAGGGGCATGGCATGCTTTACATTACATGGCTAGGGAGCATGGCCATATTTAAGGTAAAAGCAGTAATTATAGGTGAAGTACTATCGGTTTGCAGTTTTCCTAAGTTTAACCATCTCTTAATTACTATTTCACCCGTGGTATCTGCCAATTCGTGTTGGGTTTTCACACTATGATCACGGTTAAAGTATTATATTTATAAAAAAAAATTGATACATTGATAATTCATATTAATGTCTTTCCTATTGTGCTAGGTTTATATATAATCATGTCCACTTTGAAATTGTCACGTGGGTTTACAAAATTTTCTCTAGTTGCTTTGGTTTATTTTATGCATGATACCAGCTTATAATATACATGTGTACCTACACTTTGGTGTTCTTTTTTTTTCCTTTGATTTTTCTGTTTTGGACCCGGGGACCTATAATTATGGTCTGTTTGGTTCAATAAAAATTTGAAGGAAAAAAAGAGTGTGCTTGATAAGAAAAAGTCGGTTTCTATTCTAATACAAAATGAACAAATGTTTTAAATTGGAATAATAAGAGGAAAGAGATGAAGTGTGCATACTTGTTCGCAAATTTAAACCTAACAAAAGAACGAAAACTAATGTGATTTGATACAATGACAATTTAATAACACTAGAGATAAATTCACCAAAGGCCCATAGATGAGTGCAACTTGCGTCGTTGCAGACCATGTGTAGCAGTTTCACTGCTAGTTAGCCAGCATGATTCGAACCCTGTGAACTGGGTTACACTTACCACAAATAGCTACATGTTTATCACCCGAATAAGAGTATTCTTAAGTAATAATTAGGATTTGGTTAGACGTGAAACCCAACAGGCTCATACTCCCATTGCAACACAATGATTTGAAGTTTATAGTATAATTCAAGTGAAATATTTGAAGAGAGACAATCTTGTGGTTCTTTGATTTCCAAGCCAGTGCTGCATATGAACAATGACATCTAAGTAAGCGCTGCTCCTCCCATGGAACCCTACCTCCTTTCCCTCTGTCACGGTTGAAGTGCAAAACGTCCCCTTCTCCTCACCAAATGGACCATACTTCCCTCTGCTTGTGTATAACGTTAACGACGTTACCACTTTTCTCTTCTCCTCACTGTCTATGCACCCATAATATCCCGACACGCAGTTCACTACCTCGTTCGGGAAGTCTAATTTTACCCGATTTGTGGTGGTTCTTTTATGACCTCCATGTTTTGTAGACCACACAGATTGTCCATTTCGATCATACTCTATCTGCATTGAGCAAATAGCTTCAGATTTGGTTATATATATTTGCCTAATCCCAGAATATACTCCATCATCCATGGTCTTCCTCCATCTCCTCCCCAAGGACCTGGTCCCCGTGGTGCTGTTCTTTTACCACACTACAAGCAACCTGATCAAATTCAATCCAAATTACATATATATATATATATATATATATATATATACATATATATCCTTTTGGAGACATTTAGAATGAAACATACGAGAATCCATTAAGCAACATCAATGGTTAAAGAGATTGTCGTTTTCCCCAGAGATATTGGGTTTGACCAGTTGTGTTTGTAGGGTGCGCGCGCGCGTTGTTAATGACTAAAAAAGATTTTAAACAAATACTACCTTATAATCAATCCCAGACTATTCAAAACAATTGAAACATATGAATTTCCTCTTCCTCAGGTACTCACTTTGCTAGTACTAGCTTGTTAGACCATGGAGAATTATCAATTTCGGCTATACTCTTTTCACTTTGGATGATTGCTTTGGACAAAGGTGGCTTTGGAGGTGGTATTTTGGCTTCCATCACGTGCACACCAACGGCATCCAGGAACAAACCTTCACTGCCATGGAATCCAACAATCTTGCCTTCATTCATCTTGTTGGAGAAAGAGGGTCCTTGTTCATCTCCATATGGCCCATGCTTCTTTGTTGGTGTAGACGTTAATGACTTGATTACATTACGCCCCACGTACATTAATGGCCCGAATGTCCCCGTGATGTGTGTCAAAATTTCTGAGGATAATCAAACATTATCTGCGGAGAATGCAACAAGTGAATTTGTTGAAATACCAGCAATGTTGATTGAATCTTTATAAGAAAAGCTAGACTCATACCCTATCGGTTTTGAATCCTCCATGCCTCCATGTTTGCTTCCCCATACCGCTTGTCCGTCGCGATCGTAACAACCTTTATCGATACACTTCTGACATTGGTGACAAAGTGATTTGCCTTACACCGGTTAGATTCCGTCATCTAACTGGTTCCACCATTGCCACCCTAGGGTCCATAAGTTATCACTCCTTCCGGTGCTTTTGAGGGTACCCTCTTGGGACTCTTCAATCCTCAATCCTTCCAGTACTTTTGAGGGTACCCTCTTGGGACTCTTCAATCCATCCGGTACTTTTGAGGGTACCTTCTCTAGAGTCCTAAATAAACCTTGAGCACGCAAGAAACAAATAACAAAAATTGCATCACATATGTAACATAAAAAGTGAAATCAAAATCACATTTACACCTGTCAACTCGATGATGATATTGGTTTTGGATAAGGTTATCGATTAATTTAGATTTTGGGTTCAAGATAATTCGAGTTTATTAATATGGAATTTTGGTTAGGTTACTAAATGAGTTATGTTTTTAACTACAAGTAATAAAATGAGACAAAAACTAAACATTAAGTATGATTTTGAAAAATTGAAAGTTTAGGTGCTAAAACATACCAAAACTAAAGTTTTAAGTACTAAATGCATAGTTTACCTTTTATAATATTATGATATTATTTTATTCCAATTTAAATAGTTTTCTATAACTATATACAATGCATATATATTTCTTTATAATTTTTCATATGTGATATATACATATTATAAAGAGTCGAAGGACTTGACTTAAACTTGAAAATCAATCAACTAATTACTAAAAAATTTTGAATTATTCAGTTTTATTTATAACTCGATTTGAATTTAAAAATTTCCAAGTTAAGTTTATGAAATTATGACTTTAAATTAGAGTTAGGGTTTCGAGTCGAGTCGAAAATCAATTTTTCGAGTTGTCGAGTTTTGCTCACCACTCATTGCGAGTCATTTTGGGTCTAGGTATTTTAAAACAACTTAACTTAACTTGAGGCTAACAAACTCGACTTGACTCTTAATTTCATAAACACGACTCGATTAAAAAAATTAAATTCGAATCGAATTATAAAATAGAGCTCGAATAAGTCAAAATCTTTAGTAATTAATAGATTGATTTTAAGTTTTTATTGAATCCTTCAACTCTGTTGTATGATATATATATATATAGTTAAAGAAAACTATTTAAATTGAAATAAGATAATATCGTAACATTATTAATATTTTAATTAAATTTAAATAGAAACTCAAATAATTCGACTCAATTTAATACAAAATTTATTTTAAATAAATTCTGACTTATAGAAGAGAACTTATCAACTTGACCAATTAAAATTTTATTAACTAGACTCGACCGAATACTCACCTAAGTTAAGTAAGGTCGAATTATTAGTATAAAATCGACTGTTGTTCTTACCTTACTTTAGGTTTCTACATCGCTGGAATCATCAAAGCTACTAGAAGTTAGGCTGGGGAGAGGCTTTGGAAAGGACTTCCTTGCATCACTAAAAACCCATCTTTGTCATCCCCATTAGAAACGAAGCGCTGGGCATGAATGATAGTCCTGCAGGGATTCAACTTAATCACAGGCTTCGAATAAACAACAATTGTGTCCAAATGCACACCACCCCTCCTATGAAATACCACAATCTTTCTCCTACTCATCGAGAAACTAGTCCCTTGCTCCATACCATAGGTCCATAAGCTTTTCTGTTGCTTACAAAGTGAGCGATCGAACCATAAGAGGTCCCTTTCGTTAATAAACAACAATTGTGTCCAAATGCACACCACCCCTCCTATGAAATACCACAATCTTTCTCCTACTCATCGAGAAACTAGTCCCTTGCTCCATACCATAGGTCCATAAGCTTTTCTGTTGCTTTACAAAGTGAGCGATCGAACCATAAGAGGTCCCTTTCGTTTAGGGTACCGCAGTATCCATGGATGGAAGTAAGAAACTCATATGGGCAATCAAGTTTGACCTAAAACAATAAAAATATCAGTTTTGAGTTTGAAGTAGATTTACCAATTTGGTATTTCGAAATGTGACCTTATATGTCTTGGAGCCTCCATCACCCCCATGTTTCCTTAACCAAATAGAGTGTTGAAAGTCAAATAAAGCATGCAATTCAGTGCACATGCTTAATTCAGTGGCTTTCGGTGTTGTGGAAAAAAAATTAGTTGAAATTGTTGAATTTCATGGATGGTAAAATATCAAATTTAGTCATTGTACTTTAGGGTATTTATAATATTAGTCCTTAAGCTTCAACTATAAATACCCTAACACATTTATCTTCAAAACCATACCAAATCATTCTAGTTTTCTCCAAATACTAGAGAATTTAGAGAGTTTCTTGAGAGTTGTTTTCTCCTTTTTTATCAAGAGAGAATTATCATTGTTTTCTCCTTGGTAGATCGAGAGAAGTTGTAATTCCTATTTTCTCATAGTGAAATTCTTCTACCGTTGCCCGTGGTTTTTACCCTATATTATTTAGGGGTTTTCCACGTAAATTTTATGTCTCTTTTATCTTCATTTTTATTTTCTCAAATTATCAGTTGCGATTTTTTCTCTATCCGATAGCCGTCTTCCGCAGTAATTAGTATCAGAGTCAGATTTGAGTGTGTAATATCTGCTTATTGTCTTTGTGGTTGCCACCAAAAGGTGGATCCTCTAACATAAGAAAGTAAGAAGGTATTACCCATTCTTTGAAGCTTACAGAGAATTATTCACAATAGTGAATGGGAGCTATCCGTAATAGAAGCTATGACAACAAAATTTGATATTGAAAAATTCAATGGGAGAAATTTCTCATTATGGAAATTGAAGATGAAGGTCATCCTGAGGAAAGAAGGTT